AATCATGCACACTAAGACAAGTTCACAAAAGCAAAGCAATTCATAGCAAAAAAACCCAAACAAAATAATAAGAAGCCATACAGATTAAAAAAAGCTATTGCCTGCAGAAAAGTAAAAAGAAAACTAACCAATTATTACATCAAGCATCTTTAATGAAATGAACAGCATAGCCGTGTATTGTAGAGCCTTTGACACTGACATTTTAAACAAGTGGATTAACAAACATTAAAATGCATTACAGTTCTACTGTAAGCATGCAATTTACTTCTCACAAACTTATAAAATGGGTAGAAACACTTAAAGAAAAACGGAATTTAAATACGATGCGTGTTTTCTACCCAAAAGTCCAGAATCTGGTCTCGTTAAAAACAAAGCCAATGGATGGAGGCATTATCACACAGGTTTGCAGCTCTTCTGCGATTTGGGTGGAGATAGAGAGGCGCGATACAGCTTAAGCTCGCAGGGGAAAGCACGTCCCTCTTGCCAAAATTTAAACGATTTGCCCATGATTTGCAAGCAAAGTCTGGAAGTAGAAGCGACCGCACGGAGTATGCGAGAGCATCGCTGGCTGCAAGACGAGGGGGTGGTTAGTGGCTGGGAGCTGGGGCAGGGATTGCTGCGGGAGGTGCAGTAACTGCCTACGCCCTTTTTTGGGTGGCTTCTAGCCATGGCCCTTGCCTGAGTACGGCAGCTCTAGAAAGAGCCACCAACCCAAAGCGAACGGAACAGGAGAAAACACGCGTGGGTCTGCGACGCCCGCAGCCGCCAGCACCACAGGGGCACACTTGCGGACGCAGGGCACTCGTTTTGAATAATTAAACCCTGCGTTGCTAATGATCCTAGTGACAGGAGACGCTGGTCTCCCTCCACCCTAATTACGATTTGCGCTACTGCTGAACGTCTCTGTGCTAAAAAGCGCCAATATCTCTCTTTGGGGCTGCTTATGAGACCCAATCATCATTTTTGCTTCCTTGATAAAATTATTTCTAAGAAGTTTGTGAGAAGTCATGCCTTCATAACGCCCCTAACCCCAATCCTTGTGAGTTACATTCCAAGTGGGCATTAAAAACTCATAACAAAGCAGAGGAAAAAAAATTAAAAAAATAAAAAAATAAAAAGCAAACTCAAAGCAGTGAGGATATGGAGCCTTTAAAAAAATAAAAATAAAATAAAAAGTCCAGTCAATCAAACCAGCCAGTAAGAGCAGCAATTTTTCAGTGGACATTGATATTAAACATGGACCACCCAGGCTTTTTCTCTCTCTCTCTCTCATTAGCACTGTAGTAAACCCCGATTAATTTGTTATGCATCTTTAAGAACTAGTTGATAAAAATTATGTCTTGTGAAATCGGCAAATAGTCTGCAAAGTGAAATAAGAACAGAAATTAATAGATTAAACTGAAAAGATAAGTCCCAGAAATTAAAAAAAAAAAAAGACACAGAAAGGGAGTGATTGCAATTAAAAAAAAAAGGCTATGTACTGAGTTATAAAGGCCTAGAGGAAAAAAATAACGTGATGGGAGAAGATAGAGCAGTCGCCAAAGTGATTGCGTGTGTCTCGCCCGTGGAGCAAGGGCACGTCCCCGTGCCGATAGGAAACAGCGGAGGACGCGGGAGGGACCGTCCAGGGGACCCTGCCAGCAGCTCCGGCAGCCGGCGCTCCCCAGTACAGAAATGGAAATGCAAACAGGTGGATCGTGACATTTGTAGCCTCGTTTCACTTGGACAACAGTAAATACCAACAGGACAGTTCAATTCAGATGGGCATTCAATTTTTTCTTCGTTTAGTAAAAAAGTAAATAGCGTAACCGGAGGGGGAACCGGAATAACGCCCGCTGGCAGGTGACGAGGCACCGCAGGGCAGAGCCCTGTGGGACGGTGACTGCTAACAGCACAGGGCTGCAATGACACCCTCCGGGGACGACCCCGGCGGCAGCCCGCCCTGCCAGGCTGATTTACTGCAGCACAGGCACCAGTGCAGGAGAACAGGTTTCACGACGCAACTGTACTGTAGTAAAAAGCACTGCCAGGTCTCCTCTATAATGAACCATCGGAATACAGCTGTATATTTATATGTATTATATGTATACTTATACATACACATCGCTGCGGTTGCAACACCGCCGCTGTTTAGGTACTGCGGCGGCGGGAGGCAGCCGAAGCTCCCAGGCACGCTGCCTGGGATGCTCCTGCAGAAACGGCCAAGTATTTTCCTTTTCAAATCATGACACTGAGCATTTGGGCATGACAACTTATTAAAAAAGCAGATTTCAGATTTCTCTCCGTCAGGTTCGCACATGCTCCTATCTCGCGCTCCAAGCCACAGCTGTACCACGGGCCCCACGGGTACTTCTGCAAGCGTCAAAACACGCGAAGGGAAGGGTTGGGGGGTTCGGGCTCTTTTGAGGAGGGCTATGTGCTGGAACCACGCTTATGCTATTCGTCCTGTGGCACTAAACACCTTTCCCCACGGCTGGTCGGTCAGGCTACCTACTCGATTCCTTCCCACCAGTGCCTGGAGGAGGGGGAGCGAGGCCTGCAGGAGCCCTGTGCTGCAGGATGCGGCTCCCCCCAGCAGAGAAGGGCGGAAGGAGAGCGGGGAGAGCCACGCAGGCACCTGAGACACGGCAGGACACAACCGTGTGAGTGGCACTTATTTCCACCGCTGTTCCCGTGGCAGGAGCGAGCAGTGCTGGCACATCCCCATCCTCACATCCCGACCCGCTCCCGAAACGCTCCCTTGCACCCCGAGTTCTGCTCCTGTGGTACAGGGCTCTCTGCTCCCAACACTCCTCTCTCCAAACGCCTGGCTCCAGCGAGGGAGACACCCCGTCCTGCTGATGGGCATCAAACCCCTTGTGCCGTGCCTCCCGGCAGGGGGGTTCCCGCACCCCACGCCACTCTGACGGGTTGTGTTTCTGGAGACTGGAGTCCCAAGTCATCTGAGAAAAACCGCCTAACCACTCTATTAACGGTTCTGATTGCTGTTAAGGAAAAAATTATCCGAGTGGGAGTGGAGCAAACAACACGGGCAGAACTTTAGGGCAGGGAAATCCAAGCAAGGCGACGGAGGACTCCGAGCAGCTCCCCTTTGCTGCCCTGCTCCCGAAGGCACAACTGGCGCCTGCAATGAGATGCACCTGCTTTTCAGTGGTGACAATCCGCTTTGATTTTCTTCTGCTTATTCAATCTCTGCAAGAGACTGAAAACAACTAGGAAATAACTGGAAGGCCTGTTCTGAAAAACCAAGCCCTTAATAAAAATATATATATAATGAGGGCTAGAGTAAAACGGTACCTCTGCTGTCAGCTGGCAGACACGTTCTTTTTAGACATGTTTATAATTAAAGTCATCTAAGCTCTGCTGATTTTCATCATTTAACTTATCAAAAGTGTCTCTCATTTAGCTGTCTTCATACGAATCAGCTGGTACAAGGAGTTGTGAGGGCCCGGGAGGAAAGCGTGAGACAACATGCAAACACCTTCTGAAGCCTCCTCCGTGTGTTCAACTACTAACGGCTGCAATCCCTGCCTGCCTGGAC